ACTGAAGATAGACTATATGTCAACAGCCTTTTGTTAAACAGGTATTCTATGCAAAGTCACAAAGCACATGAGCATTGCAAACAAATGCTGTTGAGTGACCAAATACTGACGCAGGACATTTATTCACTGAATGCATTCATCAGAGCTCATAATCATTGAATGGTGAATACATACAATATTTGTTGTGTTTAATCTCCGATCCATCATGTTATGCTGTTGTCACTGTGTATATAGTTAATACTACGTCACTGTAAATCCTTCACATTAATTATGCCAGGGGTGTAGAGCAATGCTCAGTCTTGTTATAAGAGGTCAATATTTGTTTTTATGAAGAAGAAGGGTTGAACTGGTTCCGCTGGATAACAAAGAATAAAGTTTCCAAGTCACTGAATGAATCTTGGTCTTTGTCAGATGGGCCTTTTCATCCTCTGTGCCCTCTTGCACATTGGACTGTTGCCTTATGGGATTTATTTTCTGTGAATCTATTATATAAATGATGCATTCTCTGGAGAAAAAAAAACCCAACCACTTTGCTGATTTTGGTGCTCTGTCAATATCACAATAATTGCTGAACATGATGTACTTGGCTAGAGGCATATAGAATACTTTCAGCTCACTGAGAATACAAGCATTTCTTGTGACCTGTCAGATTAATGTGGCTTGTGCACTCAGTTCATTGGCTTTCGCACATTGCCCCACCTAGTATGATATTTTTTAGCTGCATGCAATACCTTAATTGTGTTCCAAGGGTGAACACTTTTTCAGACTTCATACTTATTGTCCTGAATAGCTTGCAGGCTTAACACTGACTCTCCTCCCCTCACACTAAACCTAATCTGCTTGTTTTCTATTAATTTGGCGACGGGGCACGTGGGAAGTACAGCTGTTTTTTTTGTTACCTGACACCTCAGGTATTCCTTTTAGAAATCCTCTGAAGTAAGAGCGAAACACATTTCATTGTTCCTAGAACCCGATATGACTTGTTTTAAAGGCAGGGGGTGCAATCACATCATTCCAACTCTTTACAAGGTTCAAATGGAGGCACAGTACGAGGCTAAAAATAAACTCTGATTTTGATTTGTGGTCTTCAGATCAGTTCAGAGCATCTCAATATTAAGAAACTTATGTCCAAAGGCAATGGACATTTGTAGAAATGTTGAAGGCTTACTGGTACTTCCCAAGTTAGTAAGCAGACCTTAAACTTTGATATCTATATACTAATAATTAATGTTCCATTATTTTGTAAAATTTTACAGACATGAATAGGACCACCAAGTCCTGTAGTGATTAAGTACTTGATAACATATGTAAGCTTGTTTGCACAACAAGCCCTTTGGTACCTCATTAAGACAAATGTTGGAACAGCTTATATACAATTTCATCATTTCATTACATTTTTAAAGAGAATATGGACACATAGACACATTGTGAAATAGTTACTGCAGATATAGAACTTACAAATAGCATCTTCACATTGACCAGTGAGCCTTTACATACCACTAACAACTTATGTGTTGATACAGTATATTACTATATGGACTAAATGACTAAGTGCAGTGTGAAAGGGGGTAGCTCATAATGTAGTGCCCCTCAGCTCTGAAGAGCCCTTTTTGCTTTTTAGTGAAATATAGTATGCTGGTTTTGTGGCACCAAAAACTCCAGCCACAGTGGTCAGCTGCTTTCAGCAATTACTGATTGTGCTACCTGCTCAGCACCAAAACAAACAAAGTTAGCAACTAACTAACAAACATAGTGGAGCTAGATACAGATATTTGGCAGTCCAAACAGAGAGAGGAGAGAGGCAGCAAAGGGCCACAGGTCAGAGTCGCTGCAGCAAGGACTCAGCCTTAGTACATGGGGCAGCAGCCCTACCAGATAACATACCAGAGCACTCTGGACTGACTTTTTTAAGGTGGACAGAAACACAACTCCAAATGAATGCTAATGTTATGCGGCTCATGTTCACCAAAACAATGGTTTGTTTACAGTTTGTTCTGCTGCCCCCAAGTGGTCAGAAAGTCATTAAATGTAACTTTAAGCATAATGAAATGTGACAACATGAAATTAATAATTAAATAAACAAATAACTGGATTAAATTGAATATACAAAAACATACCATATGCAAGCCTCAAAAGGTTTCCATTTCCTAAAACACTATGAACAACACTTCAACAAAGGTACTTTCAGGGGCAATGCAACCAAAGTTTCAAGGGGAGTTACATGTTGGCAAAAGAGTCACTTTGTCAGAGAAAACCACATAGCTCGAGCCTTTCTCAGCCTCTTAAACACAGAGACTTCCTCCTGTTTCAGGCAAAAAAAAACACACCACCAGTGTGCGGGTTGGCATAACATTTCCATGGCTACTTCCTGCTATGTGAGAGAACAGGCGTGCTATTTTAGGCCTGTCTTGAATGCTCAAAATATCCTTAATGGCACAGCAGCTAACCTTGATTAAAACTTGGTTTTGGAATATATAAAGTTGTGGTGTGGGTTGTTGTGGGTCATGCTGGGTGTAATAGAAACCTGGAAATGCAACCCAAAGCCCCAGGCTCCTTGACACGCCTTCTATTGAATGAAAAAGAGTTTGGACTCTAAATACGAACATCTGATGTCATCATGCATATAAAAACACAGTCTGTCCTTTTGTTCTCCCAAAACTTACCTGTGTACAGCACAAAACTTAGCTGTATAATTTGCTGTACTTCTGCATTACAACAGTCAAAAAAACCCAACTTGGGTCAGCTTTCCAAACTTCCAGACATAGAAACAGCCTTCTGTTTCATGCTGTGAAACTCAAGTAAAGATATGTCTATATGCACCCATAACTGGTAAAACAAGAAAAAGAAGAATGGATTAGAAGTAAAATTGAGTCAAAGACACTAAACTGAGAGGGCACAGGAAAATCATTGAGTGAGTGTGTAAAATGTATGTAAATGTAGAATGTAAAAGACTTACATCCACAGTGAGTGAAATTCCTTGTATGTGTAAACGTGGACCAATGCTGGAAGTATTTTAATAATTTGTGTAAGTAAAAGTAATAATACCGTACTGTAAAAATATTCCACTACAAGTAAAAATCCTGCATTCAAAACCTTACTTAAGTAAAACTATTGTATTATCTGCAAAATTAGCTTAAAGTATCAAAAGTAAGCTCATTCAGAAGAAAACATGGTCCCTGTTAATTATCATATGTGAAGTTTTTTGATTAATCTTAATGCTAAAATATATTTTTAAAGGTGTAGTTGCAGATTGCAACTCCCATTCTGGGCTACTGTAGAAACGTGGCGGTTCAACATGGGGCCCTCCAAAAGAGATTAAAGATTAATCTTTGGTAAGGTTGTGCTTTGTGAAACCACAGACAAAATCTTTTTGACAAATGTAAAACTACAAATACACTGATAAGGAAAGTTTCAGTTCCATGGTTAAATCTGAGACCAGATTGAAAAACATCATGTACTCCTGAAACATAATTTTCCATGTTAAGATTTTGCTAATAAAGCTTTGTAACAATTTGGTCTGCAACAATAATGAATGGGTGTCACTGTGTTGTACTCCTGTGATTAAGATACGAGGATGGTTACTGGGCCCCTTAATCAGTGTGTTAGAGAGACAAAATGTAAAATCACATCATGTCAAGTACTTTACTGTTACATTATCATCTGCAGGTTCAACCTTAGCAACATCCTGATACATTGAACATGAGAGGTAAAGGTTTATAAAGAAAATGACCTGAAGGATGGCTCATTCATGTAGATTTCTTAAGAAAGATAATATCTGTGGTTTGTGCACTTCCCTTGAACAGTTTGCCAATAGACTGCACATACAGTTCTACCGCATTTCTAAGACAACACTCTTTGCCAAATAGATTTATTCTTGTTAACTTTAAGAAGAAAGGAGAGATGAAGCTGCAACTTTTGATTGTCAGTGTTTTGAAGTATTTGGTTGTAACAAATCAAGAAGAAGGAGGAACACAGGTAAACTGAATTCCTGAATTTTTATTTTTCAAGTTGCAGTTAGGGTTAGGGTAAATTTATTAAAACTTTCATTTGTCATTTCTTTCATTTCAAATTTGTGGTAAATGGAAGCAAATGATAAAAGATCTATGCATGTGAGGCTGCATTGAGTAATTTCATGCACTAATCAATTGTATGTTGAGGACTTCACTACACAGAAATCATGTTTTTGTGATGTCAATAAGCTGCAGTCCATGGAGTGGGGTGTCCATAGTTTAACACTGTGGGAAGTATGCATAGTCATATTATTATCATATAGAATTAGACAAGAAAATACCACTTTCATGTATAATGTTTTTACAGCTACAGCCAGTAGCCGGCTCACTAATTTGCATATCATGTTTGTTTTAGTTAGTGAAACATATTTCCCGAAGACATGTCAAACTATTCCTTTAAAGCTTTTGAGGTTGAGTGCTCTCTGTATATGGAGTGTTCACTTGTGTTTCATTCTGATGCTGTATTGAGGAGATACAGGAGGGACCATGTCTTACATTCTTGCTTACAATACTGCTACTAGTAATCTGGGTTACTGAGGCAAAACTGCAGTATTTCTTCTACTTATACAAACTGTGATATTCTTTTTTTATTTAGTTGCCGACAACAGAGGGATTTGACCTCGAAAATTCTACATTTCCTGAGTATGAAGATGGATCATCTCCTTGCAGTGTAACTGTGCCTGGATTAGGATCTGGCTACCTTGTTTCTACGTATGTAATGTACTCCTGATGGATTGGCTCGGTTGTGGGTGTCATTTGTTCTATTTGATTTAATGACCTCAATCCTATATGTCTGTACAGTAAATATGTAGCATAATGATACGAAAAGTACAATACTTATTTGACTAAAAGTTTTACTTAAATCATGTTGATTACCCACTCTGACAACTAATCGACACTCAAGAATGTGCTAACTTGGCCAAACATAACAGTTGTCAATGGAGGAAAATGCACGCCATCAAAGT